AACCAATGTGAAGCTACGATAATACAAACGACGCAGCGTGCACAAACGTATTGATATAATGTAATAATGCCTATAATTAATGGGCACACACAATTACAAAGATAATTATTACAAATGGATTACGACAAAAATTTCCTTAAATTGCAAAAGTAAGTGATAACAGAATGCCCTTCGAGTAATCGCATGGGCGATCCGAAAAAATCAAGATGCTCTGCACCCGATTGCATATTCTAGCCATTCTGTTTAGTCGAGCGTATAACCCCAAATTAATGTGCTCCGTGGAGATAAAGGTATTTAAGGCTTTTTTGCAACTTCTCAAACCTCAAATGTTCAATTTAAATTTGCTTGTTGTTCCCACTAGAATGTAAATGCGTGCTCCTATTTCACCATGCCTCCTGCTGATAGAGGACAAGTCTTTGTTTTTAATTTATGTTATTTTTATTAATTACTTAAGATGTCATGTGGAACATGGTGTAATGGTTGCAGCTCCTTACAAACGTTGTATAAAACAAACATGGCGATTTAAAAAGAGTGGCGGAGAGTTATTACCAGTTCTTCTCTTCCTTTCTCGAATCAAGGTTGAGAACTGGCACATTTCTTTTTTTTAACGTTCATAAGTGTACATTGTGTTACCTATATGAATAAATGATTTTGACTTTTGACTTTTAAACAAAATATGAGGTTAATCCAGCATATAGTTTATAAAGCAACAGGGCATTCAGCAGATTCCTACGAAAAGGAAGTGGCTTTAAGTTGTACTGCTGTAGACGCTCGCTATATCATTTTTTTGAATGTTTGTCTTTACAAATGCCAAAGAAAACGCTTTTTATGTGGACTTCTTGGTGGAGGTTACACACACCACTACAGTATTGCAGAGAACTTTGCACAAGAGTATTGTATACAGCGATCATAGCGCTGGGTGCTTTGTAAGCTTTGGAGTTGCGTAAGACGAAACCCAGAGTTGTAAAGCTTTTCCTAGTAATGTTGTCGATGTGTAAGAGACCATTAGAGATCATTGAATAGAATGGCGGACGAGTAAAGGTATTTTATGCACTAATTGCCCAAATTTTGAAGTTATTCAACGTAGTATGAATTGATACAAAGAGACTGTCAAAACTGAAATGTTGAATATTCATAAATTATTCCCAGATTATGATTAAGCCCTTGCCGTTTTGGCTTTATGTACAAACAAATATTATCACCTTATTTAATAGTTAATATCTAGTATAATATTATCGATATATATATATTTGCGATTATTTATAGACTAATTAAGGATCACATAGTTGATACTACATACTTCAAATAAGTAAAATAATATATAAATTAATAATAAAAATTAATATAAATAATTTGTAAAATATATGGTTAAACAAAAGGGTTCGAAGAGTTCATATTTCTTCTCGTCAGTTATATGCTCTTGCGTATTGTTTGACGTTCATTTGAATATGTAACAATATAAATAAAAAAAGCCTTTGTTTCTACATTCTGAATAAAACATATACAAAACGATCTTACGCTACATTAAATTAAGACTAATTTTCAGTAGTCGCCTCTGCAGCCGGTGCAATAACATACATGAATAAATTATATTTTGAGTCACATTTTTTTATACTAATTTAAAATCAATCTTCGATAAATCATTCACATTCTAGAAGAATTTCTATTTTTTCTAATTTTTTGCAGCATATGCATGAATAAAAAATTAATATAATGAATGGGCAAAAATGTTACGCTGGTATAACAGAAAACATTCTCGTTAGTTATTTATGAACTATTGAGGCACTGAACAACTTGCTATTGTATTCGCTTCAAAACGCACACAATACAGGTCCTATGCTGTGGGTCTTATTAATCTCAAAGCGTAGATTATAATTAAAGTTTGTAATTTGGAATACATCTTTATAAGTTCTAAGTGTCTGACAGAATAGTCACGCCTCTCTCGATGACGAATGTATTTCATATGGCAATTGTCCTGCCGTTTAGGACACTGTTTGGTAGAAGACGTGTATTGGAAACAAATCAAGCGTGCTCTGATTTGTTCTTCAATAAGCAATTTCCCAGTAGTTGGCCGAAGCTCTTTTGGGTAGAAGGCCTATCCATTTGGGCTATTATTGTAGAACTATTTACTATGTACTATTTTTTAATATAAACAATAAGTAATTGTAGTTTGAACATTACCAATTATGTCTTAGATAATTAGCAGCCTTAAAGCGTGGACTAAGGTTAGTACGGTATTTGTTACCTATAGTTTAATTAACATTATATTTTGGTAAAGTGCAAGATGTGTGAAACTACATAAACTTATACAAGTATAAAATGCACATGAATCATGGATAAATAATGCTTATAATCTTCTAATATGTATATAACATTCTCGTGTCACAATGTTCGTTCCCATACATCTCCGAAACGGCTCGACCGATTCTTAAGAGTTTTTTATGCATATTCAGTAACTCTGAGAATCGGCTACTATCTATCTTTCAAATCCCTAAGCGATACATTTTTGTTTTTATTTTTTTATGATACAGCATACAAAAATACATACAACCCTTAATTTTCACCCCTCTACAAGCAAACCATATTTTTTATTTTTTTATTTAAAACTTATATCTTGAACTCAGCTGTTTATATAGAGAAAAATTCACAGAAAAACCTAAAAAGTTTTCATTCCGGAAAATCTAACATAGCATAACAAAATTTTTCATGTTGGTATGTACTAATGGTTGTGAAATAATTAGTAGAGTTAGTACTGTGTGTGATGTGTAGGCTTAATAACTAAATAAATACTAAAAAGGAAGGCTAAGTAAAATAACATTAAGGAGAAATGAAGTTCGCGGGGACAGCTAGTAAGAAATCTTCTTGAGATATGAAAAAGGTTTAGTATTAAGTGATGGAATATGGGTGGAGAGCGCGAGCATCACGCTAGTCCTTAAGCCTAAATAATAGCGTGGCAACTAACACGGTACTTTAATCGTTTAAAATAAAGTCAGTAGAAATCAATTAAACCGATGCATTCGAATAATATACATATTATTTTCTTATGTAGCCAAGTCCACATTTCAAGGATCGTCATGCTCGCTTAAATGTCATTGCTTGTGGCGGCGTCCATGATCAGTTGTCTCTCTCCCTAAAATTGCAGATGGCTGGCCATGCGTCATACTCGTGAACGGGTGCTACTTGTGGTGACTGGTCGTACTTGAATTCGTGTATGCGGTGATGTTAATTATTTTGGCTATGTGTTTGCGTATTGTTCCCACGAGAATGTAAGTGCGTTTTCCTATTTCACCATGCCTCCTGCTGTTAGAGGACAAGTCTTTGTTTTTAATTTATGTTATTATTATTAATTACTTAAGATGTCATGTGGAACATGGTGTAATGGTTGCAGCTCCTTACAAACGTTGTGTAAAAACAACATGGCGATTAAAAAGAGTGGCGGAGAGTTTATTGCCAGTTCTTCTCTTCCGTTCTACGCCCTTGATTTGAGAACTGGCAGTAAATGTAAAATTAGAAGCATTAATATGTATTTCTTTAATGACGAATCACAAGTGTACATTATGTTACCTACGTGAATAAATGATTTTTGAATTGAATTTAATTAATCGAGTCAACCTAAGAATAATGTCTAGTTCGAGTTTTGCACGGAACTAATATAAAGCATTCCTCAAAAGCGTTTCGATTTCAAACGTTCCAGAAAACCCGGAGCAAAGTGAAGCGTTTGTGCTCGGGTTTTCGATCCGAAAAAAATAATTTGCAGCCCGTTCACTTTTTTATTCTTTTGCGACACTGCGTATACGGATTTGATTTGTTTCATGAAACCGTAAAGGAAAGCTTGCGCTCGATGCCGAATCAAATGTCCGGCTATATTTCAATTATTCAAAGCTTTGATTTTCATTTAAGTAGACTGCGGCTGGTTGCGTTCTATGGAGAGACTATTGACATACTTTATATTTTTAATACGATTAAACGATAAGTATTATCTGTGGTGTTTAACGGTTATTTGTGTAGGATCGATTCCTTACAATACAATAAATATTTTGTGGCGCGTGTATAACACATCAGTGATAGTTTGCCTTAGTGGTCCAAAAATCGCTTCTCCGCAGGCAATGACACTTGTTCATGATGTTTGCCGGTATCTGTACTTTAGAATATTTTCGGGAAATTATGAATATTTCATTTGAATTTTAAAGCCATACAAAGCGCACTAATTAAAAATTATGGAATTCACCATTATAGCCATAAAAAGAGCGACAAAAAATAGTCTAACTTAATAATAAATTCTACAAACGATATCACATATAAAAGATAATTTTAGCCCTCCAACCTTAAAGTCTAGACTCTAGGCAATTGCTCTACATATTTCGCTACCTCGATTCACATAAAATTGTAGCAATAACCATAGAAGACCTTTCCATTATATCCCTTAACTAAACTACAGGGTGGGTTTTTGTTTATACAGCAAAATTATAAATGTGATAATATTTTACACACGTCCGAAATTTGTGTAAATGGGGAATGTAAAACAAAGCGATACAGTCATGGTCATAAGACCGTACGGGGCAAAATTCATCAAAATGACCTGGGAAAGCTAGAGGGGCGGTGCCAATTATGCCAAAAGATAAAACTGATGCATAGTGGACTGGGAAAAGTATGATTCTTCAAGCATTTCTAGGTTCTTCCGTTGAAAATGAGACTTGGATTCGAGTTCCCGACCCTTAGGTATTTATGCACCAGAAAACACTGTAACATCATCAATAGGTAGCACAATTTGATATCGGCAAAATATTGTCACGACATTGAGCGACCTACCGTAGCGATAACGCGTTCTGAATTTAAATGGTATCAAGAATTTTCGTGATCAACTATAAAAAGTTAACGGGCTTAACTAAACAATCTTATCGGGTCGGTGGGTTCGAATTATGAAATAACGTTGGGGGAAATAGAACAATACATTCAATAGTTCACGACGTCATTACCTCCGGTGAAACACAGGATCACCTATGGAGGTATACAGTTCATTATCCAACGAGTCTATGGATGACCATCAATATAGTAACCTAAGTGGGAAGTTCAATAGTTGGAACCTCTCGGACCGAGCACGCTGCACGCTGTGTGGATACGCCGAGGAAACGGACCCTTACAGAACAAGACAAGGTAAGACGTGATGACGTAGGAAGACGTCACCAGGAAGCTCCTCATGCAAGGCAGCCTGCAGTTATATTTTAAACTCTTTAGTTGCATTTTGTACGCATGAGGCGAGTATCTCCTGAAGCTTACCTGTATATTTTTCCTAAACGCGAGCATGATTGTGCAAGCTAATCGGCGCGTGAACACAGTCTATAACCGGCCAAAGTAAAGGATAGCGGCTCATGTATGATCAACATTTTCCTTTTTGTTGAAAATAATTGTGGTAACCAAAAAGTTTTTCCGTTAACATCATAAATATGCTCAATTTTCACAAAATCATTGTTACAACATCATTATCGAGTTTTGTTCATTTGTAACTATAAAATGCCTAACCGGAACACATTAGGCAGTAATTAGTAAAATTGCGGAAGGCCCTATAGCATCCAATCATTCAGCATCAGTACCCCCGACATACTCACCAGGAGCTATACAGTCAATCAACACGAATACCCTCGAATAGTCACCATGTGGGGAAAAAATAGTGGAAACCCGGGGATGCCACTTCGGTACGTCGAAGCGGTGTTCAGACAGACAAGGAGCGTGTTGAGAGGATGCTGTCAGCAGGAAGCGCAAGAGCGAATTGCGGAGCGCGTGAGCAGTATGCAGCAGCTATGCGCGAGACCGACGTCGCTGGCGCGGTACACATAACTGGCCAGATAATGCGGCCTCATAGACCTTACGGTCGGATATTGTGCCGACAGGAGCAAGAAGAGTAGTCACCCATTGAACAGTCATCCATATGAATGAGCTTGACGAAATTGAAGAGCTTCGAAATATAGGTGAATTGTGAAAATAAAATAAAAATTTTAATTTTATTTTTAATTTATTAGTAGTTGTTGATTTTGGAATGTTTTACATTGGATCCGACAGACGGCGCTACCATCGCAGTGTCAAATTTTAAATAATTTTTTATGATACAACATACAAAAATACATACAACCCCTATTTTTTTATTATAAATGATATATATGGCAAAACGACGTTTGCCGGATCAGCTAGTATTATATAAAAATATACAACAGAAAGTATAAATACTTTAAAACTTAATTTAATTCAATACTTATTTTGTTACTTAATACTACACTATCACGACATTCACAAACTGTTCACCCCATTTCTTGTGCAAGGGCTGGAATGACCCAGGGAGCGTGCCGCATCAAGTAAAATCTCCGTATCTTCACAGGGCCCCATTGAATAATACGCCAAGACATCTAGATTGTTCGAGTGTCTTAGCCAGACGGTCTCGTAGAACAGTTCTTTTGATTCTTGACATAAAATATTCGGATGCAGATACAGATACAACCACGAGCGGACGTGCAGTGAACAAAAATGATGGAAGTGTTGAACACTGCATGAGTCCCAAAAATTATCCAGGTCATCTGGCGGTGTTCTTCCACAGAAACAGGAGTTACGCAAGCCAACCTCGCACTGGTCTAGATGGATGCGCCTTTCAACGAACTTCGCTATCTTCGACAGTCTGACGAAACTTCTATAACCCGATGGGGCCACTCCTCCGAATAGAGGTGTTAGGGTATCCCAGTTGATAAGCAGGCGATCTTCCTCCGTTCTTGTGCCATCGAAGTTGTATAGCACTTGGAAGGATTTGCCGTTGAAGAAAGTTACTTCAATTTTGTTCATGGACAGGAGAAACCGTCGATATTCACTATCAAAATGTAAATATCGGTTCACGCTGAAGGGGGCCCCACACGGTAGACGAAAACCACGTTTCGCAAAGTCATTTACTGTGAAACTTTGTGACTTCTTTTCTTCTTGTAACGCCATTGTGACTCGATGAAGTGTGCGCCTTTTGATTATGTTTCTTGCTGAAGTGTTGAACGTTAATTGATGAGCAGTCGTTTCAAATGCTTATTTTATAGGTGTATTGTTGCCGGACGAAAGTCAACACTGATAACCTAGAAGTTATTTAAAAAAAAATCGGAATTCCCTCAAAAATATAACTTATCAGCAAGTGGCATGCTTCGTAGTAAACACTGATTAGGTACATGAATGATTCTAGGTATAAAAAACAATGCCGAGACCTCGTCAGCTGAACTTTCGGTGAACTACGGTGAACTTTACTCAACCGAATACTGATAACGCAGAAGACGTAATAGACATAAACAAAATTCATCGGATTTTCCTGAGTAAGATAACCGTTTGGTTATCGGCCGACTTTGTGATAAGCAAGCGACTTGGGAAATTGGACTTGTGTAAAAAACAATGCTGAGACCACGTCAGCTCATGTTTAAATGTGCTCATATGTAGGTATCATCACACTTTAGTACTCCTGTTGACAAAACAACTTCAATTCTAGCAGTAAGGGTCTCGTGAGTACCCGCTATGAAGGCATGCTTAGATTATACAAAAGTGGCGAAGCGATGTATGGCCTACGAGATGCGGGTGACCGTTCCATGTCAACAAAGTAGATAAGTTTACAAGAAGTATGTTTGTTCTAGGCGTTCCAAGTGTCGTTCTGCCAGAACGTGAGCTGTAGGTTTCTGATAAGTTGGCGCTACCTTGGATGCTGATTCTGCGGCCCCAGCGATTCATGTTACCTGCTGCTTTGACCCATATTTTTAGCACCTTAGAGCATGCACCTACAGAACAGGTCGAAATTTTCGAAAATGCATCTGACCTCTATGCACTATAGTATCTTCATCACTGAATCCGAAAATATCAACCTTGCCTAGCCTAGATGCTTAATTTTGAAGTTATAGACCGCACGGTAACGTGGCACCTACTGTACATTGTTGCGTTACGTTGAACTGTCATTGGTCAAGAGACGTATTGCATTTCTGTGATTCCTCAGCTGTCGACCAATTATAATCAAGTTGCGTTTCGTTTTTTGTTTTTTTTTATGTAATAGAAGGCAAATGGATATTAAGGGATACCGCAGCCTGAGGACACTCATATTGCGAGAAAGCTCGCAAGTGCGTTGCCGGCTTTTTAATAATTGGTACGCTTTTCTTGAAGGACCCTAAGTCTAATTGGTACTGACCTTGTCGGGAATACTTCAGTAGGCAAAAAACTACCTTAAGTTTTTTAAGGCAGTGTGGAACGACGGACGAAGAGGTGATACGGATGGTATTTTGTATTCTGCACTGTTTTGGCATCGATCAACATGGTTCATCTCAGGATCAAATTACTTCCAAGTACTACTTGCACTAGTCAAATTTTATAAGAAAATGGTGTTCGTTTGAGGCTCTTTCACGCTTAAACCACTGATTGTATCGACATGAAACTACCACTATTCGATGCGAAATTTTTCCTAGATGGTTTATGGCTATTTATTTTTTTAATTCCAACGTTCCTTCATTTTTTTATTTCTGTTTTACTTTTATGAAAATTTTTCCCGCTAATAAAAACAAAAGAGGCTTCCTAGAACCTCAAAACGTCAACATCTGTTAAAAACTCGATTTTCGAAAATTTTCAATTTTATAGCGGGAAGTTAAAAAGAAGAATGATAAAAATATGAAAAAATAATAATATTTTTTTATTTATTTCCTATTTTAATTCGCACAGCGAAGCGGGCGCGAAACGGCTAGTAATATAATAAAAGGAACGAATACACAGCATGTATAAGAAATATGTTATTTAAACTGCGCTTTCGTGTGGCTCCTGTATAAACTAAAACTGAAATACCAACACATGGCAGCCATTTTGCCTGCAGTAAAGCTTAGGCTCATGCGATTTTACGATACGACGTCCATTCCTCTTATGTCTGACAGTTTCTTTACCTAGTTGTGTACGCTTTGAATATTTCATTTAGTTAATTCTGGTTAAGCCTATCAGCCAAAGATAAGCTATAATACTAACAAAAAACGCTGCACAGTGAAACGCGAGTTTTTTAAAAACTTATTTTACTAACCTTATAAAGGGGCAAGACGCGAACACATGGTTCACGTATGAATTAATAAATCATTGCATACAAGTTCAATCAATGTTCTTCGGGTTGGTGTAAATAGAAAAATTATCAAGGAGCTAAGTGATATTACATATGGCAAATCAAGACATCTTGGGTTGGATTCTCATAAATAATTGTAAATCTTTACATTCCTCATCGGTATTCTTGATTATTTAGAAGAATGTATGATTTGATAAAAATGTCTTTAACACAGGAAAGAAGATTTATACAAATACGTAACGGACAATAAACTAGAAATCTTTTGTCTTTTAAATCAAAGAAAGTATATGTATCCAGTAATGCATAAAAACAATTACATAGTAATAAACAAACATCCTTGATCCTTTGGCGCTGCGTAGAGATGTGGGGTCTCTGCATCTTCTACCGCATTTACCATGGAGAGTGTTCAGAGGAGTTATTCGGATTAATACCTGCAGCTGAGTTTCATCATCGGATGTCTAGGCAGAATACGAAATTCCACCCATATCAGCTCGATATCCGACGTTCCACAACTGAGCGTATTTCAAGGCAGTTTTTGCCGCCCACCACCACTTTGTGGAACCAGCTGCCCACTGAAGTATTTCCGAACCAATTAGACTTAGGGTCCTACAAGGAAAGAGCGTACCAATTCTTAAAAGGCCGGAAACGCACTCGCGAGCCCTCTGGCATTGAGAGTGTCCATGGGCGGCGGTATCACTTAACATCAGATGAGCCTCCTGCCCGTTTGTTCTATAAAAAGAACCTGCAATCAGTAAGCTTACTTTTTTAATACGATGTTACCTCGAATATTACGAAAAGACCGCGCCAGGTACGTTCAAACTTCTAGGTCAGTGCAGTAACACGGTCTTAACGAAATAAAATATCCCGACAAACCTAACAATTTCCACGTAATAAAGTTAGCCGGCGTCAGCGCTAACTCAATTTATTATGAAATCTAACCAATTTGCGCATCAGCTAACTATTTAACTTGGGGATGGCCCCTTAATTAACTCCACAACTGCGAGGGTTTGACTACAAAGGAATTGACATTGTGCAGTTTAAAAACGGTAATTAGTGAGTCATTTATAGCTTTGATATCACTGTAAAGATTGCTCTAGACTCGTGATAGGTGGAAAGGTTGAGTGAACTTGGAAAGCCTGGCACATAATTTAAATATTGAGTACTTATAGAATACAGTTTATAGTAGAAGTTAAAAAATATTCTAAGGTCGTAGGTGCGATCCCCGCTTGTGCACAAATGGCCTTTTCTTTGTGTTTTTGCTCGAACGGTGAAGGAAAACATCGTGAGGAAACCGGCTTGTCTTGAATCCACGACGGCGTGTGTCACAGGAGGTTGATCACCTGCTTGCCCATAAGACAAATGAATATGAAACAGATTCAGAAATCTTAGACTCAGACCTAAGAAGGTTGTATCGCCACTGATTATTTTTTCTTAAAAAAACGATTTACAGCAATTTAATTATAAATACTCATAAATAAGTCTCGTACGGATCAGATCGCTGAAGCATGTATGCTTGAAGTTTTTTAATAATAAAGGAAATGCACATATCTAAGAAATAAAAATAGTTCTTCCTAATCTTTAAAAACGTTTGAAGAGGAAAGACGCTTTCCATGTTTTTAACAGTCACACTTAATTCATAACAACTAAATAAAGTTGTATCTAAATTACTCCTTTGTCTCTCTCCTATTGTTCTTACGCTGTGAAGAAAAGCGGAATCTCTGTAGTTAAAACGGTACAATTATAATGTTTTTAAGTATCTTGTGTAAAAACTATGAGGTATTAAAAATATCGGATTAACTCATGTATGTAGAGTACGTATTTCATTTTAATATAATCTATTTGGTTAAAACTATAATAAAAATTAACATAAAAAACTTAATAATGAATTCATCAAGAATGTTTTACCCGATTTTCATTCCGTTAATTTTAAATTAAATTTTTATAACTCAATGTAATTAAACGAACAACTTTTTACGACCTTGTATATTCTTTAAATTTTACTTGTTATTTGTAAATTGAAGCGAAAAATTTGAAACCAGCGAGCCGTTGCTTAATCAAATTGCTCGTAGGCTGGTCTATTAGGCTTAACAAAACCACTCAGCGTGAGCCAAGGGTGTCGGCTGAAGCGAGCTATGTACGGAAATATACAAGATTATATGATCCAATGGCTAGTTCATTACTACCATAGTCACCATTGATCTAAAGACTTGTAATATCTCGTAAAATAATTCAAAATTTTAGTTGTATACTTTTTACAAATTTCGAAAACGAAGGTACTTTAGAAGTTGTATATATTTTAATTGTACTTTTTTTTTTGTAACACTTATGTTTACTTAAATTGTCATACATTTTAGATGAAAGATTTTGTAAAATATGCCGTAGATTTGATGATGATGTGGTAAACTTTAATAAATAAATAAATAAACTATCGTAAAATATCTTTTCAGAATGTGATATGTCTTAATGTTAACAGCTCATCGCAAATGTTAGAACTGCGTACAAATTAATAAAAGCGAAGAGTTTCACACCCCAGATGGCGCAAATTCTTACAGGGCACGGAGCCTTTGCACATTACCTTCATAGGTTTAAAATTAGGACAAGCCCAACATGTGCCTGTAGTAATGAAGATCAAACAGTTGAACATGTGCTCCTACACTGCCCTATATTCGCATCGTCCAGGCACGACCTGGAGCAACAAATGCAGATGACTGTAGACCGTAACGGCCTACAGGACATGTTAATAAAGCACAGATCGTGCCTGGAACGGTTCTGCGATAAAATTGTTAAATATATTAAGGCGGCAAACAAAACTCCCAAACGGGCCCGGGATGGTCCCGGCTCGACCATGAATATTGTAAACAAAAATATTACAGATGTAGCCGGGGCGTATTTCGCGAGACGTGTGATGTGAAGCTTAGATATAAAAAAAGTCCCTGGACACAATGGCAGGGAAAAGGTATTATTTAAAAAAAAATGTTAAGAGCTCAATACTTCTAAAAAAATAAATCAATTCATTTAATTTCCAAAATAACTTCAATTTATATTTGAAGTTTATAAACTTCATAATAAACTGTAAATATAAATTAAAGTTGCATCTTCAGAAAAGAAGAAATTATGTTATTGCTGTATATAAATTATTAAATCGTATTAGTGTAATTATGTGTGTCAGATTATAATAGGTTTAACTAATTACCTTAAATGTTTGTTTAAGCATTGTAATTAAATGCTATTTTTACTAAAGCGTAGATATTTTAATTCCATTAAATCCCACTTTAATAAAAACACTAAATTTCATTTTCAATTAGGGCTTTAATTAAAGCTACTTAGAAACCCCTTGTAGTCCATCTAACTCTGGTTAAACCTTTTTGCAATTAAAATTCAGCTCAGTCTTGTGACCCTAGTTGTTAATTTATGTTTTTAATTTCCTCTAATGTTCCTATTTAATTTACCTTAATTAGATGTTAATAGTCATAATAAAAATCTAAACAAATCTTGATGCAATTATCCATCTGAATACTAATCTATTAAACGTGAAAAGTACACAAATACAAGTCGTGGAAATCATTTTAATAATTTTTATAGTTATTTCGTTTTCTAGAACACATTTAGCTTAGTTACTTTATTAATAATGAATTTTCTAATTAGTTTCTAGGAACTACAAAATATGAATTTATCAAATTATACTATAATATGAAAATATAATATATTATATAAAAAACATAGTCTTAATATCCTGTAGTAGTAGTAATTAACGTAGGTTTCTTTCTCTTATTATTATGCTTACGCTGTGATAATTTGGACTAATCTAAATGGTACTAAAGTTAAACAGTGAAATAGGAGTTATTTGTTTTTAGGTTTTAATAAATTACTTGTTTCTTTTATTTTATTGATTTACATAATATTTTGTATTTTTTGGATGCCAGATAAAAACACAATGCAACATTATTTATACACATCATATGTATAGAAACACTCGATTCGATGAGTGGTGATGTTTTTTACATTTCAAATTCTCTTGTTCCAGATAGAAGGTATGCGGGCTCAAAGGATACCCGCTGCCTTGCTACTATTGCTCATCGCAATCGATTCTCTGCACGCAAATAGAAGAAAGCAAAAAGAAAAAGTCATTCAAACCTCAATAAATATTTGCGACATCAGCGACAGGGATTCAAAAGTACACTGCTACTGCGAACACAGTCCAGATATCAACGAAGCCACTAAAACAGAATGTTGGGTGTTCAATGGCGGAATAGAGAAAACGGACCCGTTGTGGACAAGTTTCACGTCGCAAATGAATATCGAAATTCTCGCATTCAATGTACGCGCAGATGGCGGCTTGAGCTTTGTCCCTACCAGAGTTCTGAGATACCTCCGAAAGTTAACACAGTTTAGCATTAAATATAGCTCAATATCTAGAATAGAAAGTTTCACATTCACTAACTTAACATCCGTACATGAGATGACGCTAACAAAAAATCAAATTGTCGTTTTGAATAGACACGCTTTTTACAACCTTCCAAATCTAACAGTTCTAACATTAGACGAGAACAAAATTAAAAAATTAGAAACAGAAACCTTTTTCGAGCTACCAGCACTACAAAAACTTTTCCTAACCAGTAATAATATCACTGTAATAGAGGATGGTGCATTCAAACACCTGGTTAATTTATTAGAATTAGAACTCGATAGAAATAATATAAGCGATTTGAAAAAGGAATGCTTCGACGGACTTGCTAATTTAAAAAGATTAGATTTAAGAAGAAATAAGATAGCTATATTGAATTCATTTACATTTATCGAATTATGGAATCTACAGGATCTCTTATTAGATTATAATGAAATTTATGAACTAGCTCAGAGGACATTTGATGGTTTATCTCAGTTGAAAAAGTTAAGCTTAAGTTACAACAGATTAATAACATTAGCTGATGGGCTGTTTGAAGGAGTACGAGGATTGTCTGCACTCAACCTGCGTCATAATAAATTAAAGAGATTCACAATTGATAATCTACGTCCGATTTATGACAACATCAAATTACAGAAAAGTGAAATCTCTTTAGAAGGTAAGACGGAATTATAAACGATTGAATTTCTATTTAAATACAGCACTGTAAAAATTAAATCAAGTTTCAATCAATATTGCAATTAATATCTTTTAGCGTCCATTTGTATTTCTGTAAGTTAACGATTATCTAGTTGATAAAAGGGCATGGGACTAGTGCTAGACAGGCTACTACTAATTAATTTGAGATATTTGTTTTAAAATAGGTGATGTTTGATGATTTGAGGGTTTCTCTCGGCCCTCCTCTCTCTTCTTTGCCGATGAGTAGGGATGTCTACCAATTCAAATTTACGTGGAATAAGTGATACCTGTTTATTATATTGCAATTAATATCTTGTAGCATCTATTGGTATTTCAGTAGGCAATTAAACAAATTAAAATGTTATTTTTTCTGTGCCAACTGTAATATTTAAGTTGGAAAAGAAATAGTAATGAAATGCTTATTAGGTGAGAAATTAAAATGAAATTATCTTTTACAGGTAACGATTTCGATTGCGACTGCCACCTGGCTTGGATGCACAAATTACGTAATGAGGCAAAAAGTATTAAAGTGAGAACGTCTTTAGAAAATTTTCTCTGTAAATTAAACTTTACTCTACTACCCAATTCACATTTTACGTACTACGAGAGAATTGATACGAAAAATAATGTAGATAGCGATAAAATAAAAGACGACGCCGAAAATACAGAAGAGTTTCACGATGAAATCGATGAAAGTTACTTAGACGAACCCAAGAAAGTGAGAGGTGATAACGAAAGAACGTTATTACAAATTCCTGTGGAATTATTGCCTTGTCCCGCCGAGGTTAAGAGCGTAACCGATAGGACCTACACTTACCCGTCTCAAAACGAAGCGAAGGATTATAGGAATCTCATCACAACATCGTCTATATCGACGATCGGCGTAAATATTTCAGTTTTCCTCCTATCATTACTTTTATTGTTAGGGTAAAGATATTTGGTACGTTTCTGCGATAGAATTTTTGAAGTAAAACTTTTTTAGGCGCAGGGAGTAACTCAGATTTTTTTTCTGACGGAAGTAACGCTTAAACGTAGTTTCCGCTATTTAAAATAATACGATAGCGCGTTTTATAAGTCCGTCAGCGCCATCTAGTGGTTGTACTGATTTAAGTCAGTTTCTTGGTTTAGGATATCATTCATTCGTTTTATTTGATACCAATCGGATCTATTTTATATAAAAATAACCAAGTTGTATAAGAGAATAGAAAAGTGAATAAAACAAATTCAACAGTTTAAAAAAAAATGTTTTAAATTGCAAGGTTTTTTGAAAATCTCTAAATATACTTAATGATTTATTACTTTTAAAATAAGTAAACTTTTCTTTTGTAAGTAACTCAACAACCTGAACCAATTTAGCCAAATTTTTTTTATAATATTCCTTGTAGTACGAGGATGGTTCTTACGGAGAGAAAAATTTAAAATTGAGTGAAAAGTTAAAACAACACTTTTCTATATTCCTATACAAAATATTCGTAATAATACTTAAGTAATTTGAACTTTAATACCATATCATAAAGTTCAAGTGTTAGTGGAGGGGTCCGGAAGTAAATTTTTATTTTTTGACATAATGTATTTGTTGTCTTATCAACTTTCTTTTTTTTATCTTACTAGCTAGACCGGTGTCCCGAATAGCAGAATAAGTATTAAAAAAATGAAGAATCGACTGTTAGGCGGTAAGATGTTCGCCAGGCCAGCTAGTTAATAATAAATTTTCTGACGATTCCGACATTCTATAATATTCAATAACAAGGTTATATTGACATGTGCTGATCAAACCTTCGTATTTGAATAATCTTTGTAAAGCACATGAATAATAAATATAATTAAATTATAATATGATATTTATTAGTTAAGTTAATATTTAATAATTTCAGTGATATATGCCGTCAACGCCAAAGAAGTTTTACTTCAATCGCGTGTAAAGGTTACACGCACACACTTTTTTTGTTGCATTCTATTTGTCTTGTTTATAAGGTAATTTTATAAAAGACGGAATAAATATAGTTTCAATAGCTTTGTGCTAATAGCCTGTCATTTGCGTTCACCGCATTATTATTGAATAGCTTAAGTTATAAATGAGATTCTTTGTGCTCTGTTCCTTACAAATTGCCCTTTGTGAAAATGTACATAATCGATATTTTAATCTATCTGTATGTACAACTTTTGTAAATATAACATAGAGATTTTGTAAAGAAATGTGATATAATTGTAAGAAATATTTGTTTTATCATGGATGTTGTTTTTATTAGAAACTTCGACATTTATCTTTCTTGTTATAGATTCGTTTTGTAAATAATAGATGTGTAACTAAAGAAATTCTTAAGTATAGTTATTGTAAATATATCATATAATAATTTGAGTCATCTGTATGCAACAGTCGTGGTTAAAGTCATCTAACAAATTATATATAATTAGTATCTATAGAACAGTGTAATTTAACTTTGAAATATAATACGCGGCTAATTATTGTCTAATTAGGCAGAATACAGTAATTTATGGATTTTTAAATACTAATAAATGTAAAAAATGACACTGAAATCTATTTTAATTCTATTATTAAAATACCGTTTTTTTCCAATATTCAAGGATTTCAAATCGTTTTTGACTGTCTTGCTGACGATAGCTAAAAGCATTTTGATTGTATTTGTTAAACAATTTTTATCTAAAGAAGTCTTAATTTGTTACATATTTCGTTCAATGTTAGTCAGTTCATAATTAAAGCGAATATTTCGGCACGAATTTCAAAAATGTCTCTTCATCGTAATAGTTTTGACCCGTACCCTTATGTAGAGAATTAGGGGACCAAATTAAAGGACAAACTATCGCAGTTAGTGATGATAATGAGAGATGCGTGACCTCGTAGGGAGCAGGCAATTTTAACTAAAAGGCCCTCCCGACGTTTAGAGATTTTATCTGAAATAACAAAATATTTGGCAAACGGAGCTGTCGTAACTCCTGATTTTATTTGCCATTTGACCTCGTGATGAAAAAAACTTTTCACACTACAACCTACAAAACGGGAAAAGTTATTTTGTAGTATTTTAGCATAGAGAGTGGATTTATTTCAAAACTTGAAATTCAAATCTAAACTAGCATTTCAAGCATATATGGTTTATCAAAAGGAAGGGATCGCTCGGAATCATTGATTAAGCTATAATCAACCCAAGTAAAGAAAAGTCATGGATAAACAAACATTAGTTAGTAAAAAGGTTACAAAGATACTTTTTTCATTTTTTTTTTAAAGACAATTCACACCAATTGACCGAGTCCCATTGCTAAGCTGGTGAAGATTGTGTTATGGGTACTAGGCAACTGAGATACATACATATTATAGATAGATAGACATATAAATACATATTTAAACACCCAAGACCTAAGCACAACACCAAATGCTCATCACATCGATGTTCGTCTCAGCCGGGGATCGAACCCGGGACCCATGGATTTGCAGTCAGGGGTACTAACCACTAGACGGACGTTATCGTCGTCATCGGACGTTAAGAAAATTAATATACGAATTTGAGTATTGAAAAATGAAAAAAAAAGTCAAAAAGTATTAAATCTTTAACTAAATTTTTGGCTAAAAGTACAACATACCGAAACAAACAAGAAAAAAAGTTGTGCGCTAAGTGAGATTATTTAAAATGTTTTATTAAGTTTGAAAAGACAGGACTTTAAAAACAATTTTAAATATATTCAATGAATAGAAACCGTATTAGTAAAATGTTATTTCAATCCGCAAAAACGATCGCAAAACGTCCATTACTAATTAAACTTGAATTTTAATTAACGTTTCTGTGGTTGCGGTAATTTTAGAATAAATTTTCCATCAGTGAGTGCACAATCGCTTTTTCATTTCAAATCCTCTTCGTAGTTATTTTCAACTTTATCTATTTCCAAAATTAAAATTTTGCCCATTCGAATATGTCACTTAGCTGAGAATTTAGAATATTCAGATAAAATATATTTTAGTGTCTCCTATTTCTATTCAATTGTCAAATTTAAACTCGGGCGAATAGTAAAATGTATAATCAACCGTGTTAGTTACTTTAACAATAACGGACTTCAAAAAGCCCAAAAGATTAAAATTCAGCAAACGACGTCCTTTGATAAGAATTTAGCTACAGATAATTACAATGGTAATCATTTTATTTTAATAAAACTTCGAAAGCGTAACAAATACCAAAGAATTTTCATTCCACATTTAAAATACCACCGTCTCTGTCTTTGACGACCTAATCGCCGTCTAATGGTTACCATGGCAACTAAACTTGCTAAAATTTTTACACGCAAAAACACGATACGAAAAACATTTTGTGTTAAAATATGGCCGCGTATATCTTTATCCAACTGTTTATGGATTAACCTTTAATGCGTAGGACTTTTCTTTGCAATTATTGAGAATTTTCAATGGAAAAGCTCCGCTATCAACCTTCGTCAATGTTAATAAATAAATTCAATAAAAAGCCTTCATTACAATACTTATTAAACTAGACTTTTCCTCTTACGGACTTAAGATAAATATAAAAGCAATTTATTCCTCAGGGACAGAAATATCAGACAGTAAATTTGCTATACATTGGAGTAGGAGATGCGCTATTGCTTCATAACCAAATAGAGATGGCGCAACAGTTTTCTTAATAACAATTTTTTTTAAATATATAATAGAGGGGTAAACGAGCTTGCGGGACGACCAAAAAGGGCACTCTTCGCAGCCCATAGACACCCATTTTTAGTGGGTGCGTTGCCGGCCTTTGAGGGAGAAGTACACTCGATTTTTAATCATTTGGAGGTCGTATCTCTGAGGGAAGACACCCACCGGGAGTCAATTCCACAGTTCGCTAGTTCGCAAAAGAAAATGCCTTGTGAAACGGACTGTAGACCTCCAATCATCAAGATGATGTGGGTGAAATTTAGAGCTCGTACGGCTCGTACGCTGTTAAAAAGAGGCAGGAGGGCTCAACCCAAACAATTCTTCTCTCTATTTACCCCTAAGGTAAATAGAGTTATTAAGCACATTTTACGCAATTTTTATATTGTTACTTTAACATTAATTGTACATTGATTCAGCTGAAATATTAACAGTAAACCACTTAACTATTCGTACATAAAATATGTATTACGGCGATAATACGGCATATTAATATTGTTATTTAAATTTGTTTCGCATAATATTATTTTACATATTAATTTAGGTATAATGTATATTGTGGCATACGGAATGACTCGTGTAATGTATTCTATAAATTTAAATAAAGGTTGATGTTAAGAAGACTTTGTTTTATTTGAAACCTACAAAAACAGACAGCATTGTTGACCTAGTGGCTTCAGCGAGCGACTCTCATCCCTGAGAACGTAGGTTTGATCCCAGGCTGTGCACTAATGGATATTCTGTCTATGTACGGTTTTAACATTAGCTCAAACGGTGAAGGAAAATATTGTGAGGAAACCGGCTTACCTTAGACACAAAAAGTTGATGGCGTGTGTCAGGCACAGGAGGCTGATCACCTGTAAGATTGACAAATAATCTTGAAAAAGATAAGGAAATCTAAGGAGCAGACCTTAAAAGTTTCTAGTGCCACTCATTTATTTTTTACAAGAACAGACACAGTACTGACTTCCATATTGGGTTTTATACCGTGGACACACGGTTCAACGCCAGCATTAAAGAATCCATATTAAAGTTAGGAACAAAATCGTTAGGACTGCTGTCTCTATACATATACTATTAAAGGCTATATTTTTTGTTAAAAGAAACCTTATATATTATTTAGACATATTGATAGTTGTTCATCCGAAATCTGGAATTCGTGAAGAAACAAATTGATGCTTTGTTCTTTAGACACTAGAGTCTAAAATCTATGCAACATCTGGGTCATTTAAACAATTGGTATGAAATAAGCTACTATTTGCTAATACAATTTAAAATAA